AGAGTGCCCCGCCTGAGGAAAGAGCTGATATCCCGAACAGGTGGTCCCTGGTAGGGCTAAGCTAGGTGGAGGACCCTTCAGGTGCATGTAATTTTGCCCCACCAATATCCACTTTCTATCCCACAAACCTGAAAGGAACATTACTGGCCAAAGGGGTTGCAATCCAAGCTAAATAACAAAACAAAAATACATTCGTGGGTGATTGAAAAATAAAGATTTTTCGTGAAACCTTCACGTAGCCCTAATTAAAAACTTTATACCGGCCGGGGTGGTTTGGTTGCACATTTTGTCAGTTCTAGTTACAGATTGATGTTTCATAGGCATCAAAACTCACGTTGTCAGGTGCTTTTAAGATTGACAGCATCAGAGAACGCAAAAGTATTGATATAATTTTGAAATCCAAGTCTCTTCCTATTTATGCCACCCACTTCGAAAACATGGGTGAACCATGCTGCCCGCATTACACAGAAAAGGACCACGACTCAAATTTTGACCATTCGAATCTGGTATGCGACCGAAATAAGTCAGCCTGTCGTAAACTGAAGATATGCCCATTTCACTGCGATGCACGTCTTCTGGCGCCTTGTGCGGCAAGCATTCTTCCCTTTCGCTACAAAAGAATGACTTGATTCCCTTCGCCAAGCCATAGAGAATGACAATTGAAATCATGGCTTCAAGGGGTTAAGAACAGTCCCCTGAGTACCGACCACGACGTGCCCCACGTGGGTGCCTGGGGCTGCTCGGCTGCAGCCGGAACCCCGGCGGCCAGCGGTCGTCCACCCCGACCCTGTCCACTCCCGTCGTCCGGTGGGGGAGGGTAAGTCCCCGGCCAACAGAGCGGCACCGGAGCGCTCTTTGCCACTCGGTGTCCCCGACCCCCCCCCCGCCCGTTACGGCTAGGGGGGGGTCAGGTCCGGATCGAGTGGCGCTCGCCCACACGGGCCGACGCCCTCAGCAGCGGTCCACGCGCGTCGGCGGTGGGCCTACCGGACTGAAACCCGCGCTGTTCTTGTCAGGACTGAAAACTCACTGGGTCGGAAGCCTCCCAGCGAGTTGTGCGTTGCGGTTTGACCACAAAAGAAACTTGGGTAGGGTGTTTTGATGGTTCCTGGTAAGAGATAATAATGGCCCAACGCCTGGAACGACTCTTTAGACCCTAACGTTTCTAACGTCTGACATTCCTTCAAAACATTTTGTCATGACGAATGAAGTCAGGCAGCTGTCAGCACCAGATCACAGGACGGTGCATCTCACTCCGCGTGCGACTGAACTGGAGCACCTACTGCTTACCGCACCATCCAGTGGAGATGCAGCTTCTCAGAAGTCGAAGGGGCCGAAGGGTGCATTTTGGATAAAAAGCAGCGTTTTGCTGGTTAAGTATACTTCCAATCATGTTTTGGTGACTTAAATTTGTTGTTCGCAGAGGAAGCAAACATTTGGGTTGAGGCAAATACCTCTCAAAGATTTCAAATAAACTTTCCGCCATTACCTACGAGATCAACACTTTAAATGTAACCACGAACTCCGCTGCTCGCGTGAAGCTCCTGGGCTTAAGAGAGATCGCACTGCACATGAGTGGAGGCAACGACCTTGTTCAGCACTGCGAGCCGCGTTGACCGAACCACCCACCTCTGGAATGGGCGCCCGTGAGGGCCAGTGTCGGCCGAACCGCCCACCTCTGGAATCGGCGCTTGTGAGGGTCAGTGTCGGCCGAACCGCCCACCTCTGGAATGGGCGCCCGTGAGGGCCAGTGTCGGCCGAACCGCCCACCTCTGGAATCGGCGCCCGTGACGACCAGTGGTGTCACGCTGACCCGCGGTGGAAGAGCCACTACCCGGCCGCCTGCCTCACTTCGGGAGCCGTGCCGCCACCTCGTTTGATCCCTATTGTGCTAAGGCGAAGGCGATGCGGAGTCTGGCCGAGATCAGAAACGCATCGGCATCAGACGCAATGTCGTCAGCGAGGCTTTGAACGCCACGACGAGGCACTGGGAGAGTCGGCATTAGGCACGCATTCAGTAGACCTCGGCTCTCTGGCCGTGGCATACCGCCTGAGTGTCACCCGTAGCCTCGCCCGGCGACCTGCTGCGCCCCATGCCAACTCGCTGAACGCTGTCCGCGACTCCTTCTTGCTATACGACAGCCTAAACGGTGCGCTCGTGGTTTTGCGATGTGCGTCTTTTGGCGCGCGACGGCGCGGGCTCAGTCGTTCAATGGGCTCTTTGAATGTCACGCTGCGAGGACCGTTTAAACAGGTGTGGAGTCAAGGGCAATGATGCCGTGTGAGGGACGGACAGCTTTGTCATCGCGCGCAATTCGTCACAGCCTATCAGAGGCCCCGGAAGACGCCGTCAGCATGCAGCTTACTATTTAGTTTTCGGTGAAGCGGCACAACCCGTGCCTGAAGCCACATTACGGGACGGAGACACTGACAACAAAAACATTAAAACTGCTCATCTGTTAACCTCGGTGGCGACGGTTTATTTTACTGCATAACAGGTACGTAAAGGACTTGAGAAAAAGCACCCACCGCTGCCATATTTCAATATCGATTCTGCGGGGAGTGAGGGGAATATTTGAACTCACTGCTGGTATGTATGTATGTACGATCAGTGTTCGGCTGTGTAGTTTGTTGCTGTACCCTTTCGTAGATCCC